ACCGTTGCCCCCATTTACAGTCCAAGAACCTTTGTGAAACTCTGAAAGCCCTTGTGTTTGCTCAGGGCCTGTTGAAAACAGCATGTGATTTTCTATATGTGGTGCTATGGAAAACGGATGCAACTAAAGGTCAGCTTCGGCCTACTAAAACTCCAGCTGCATCCTAGGCATCTGCTTATGTACATTACATATGTTCACCTTTGACCCCCATCTCTAACAAACATCACGTCAACACACTGATAGCTTGTAAGTTTACCCTCGACAAGACATCTTAATCTGGGGTGGACGCTGGGGTGACAGAAAAAGAATCCTGTCCTATGCATAAACATTTTACAGGCTACCAGCCATTTGTGTAGAACTTCTAACAGTGTCAAAGGTTCCTCTCGTGTCCTAGCAATGGCTCAGTCACAACTGAAGGAATTTGTGTTAGGAACTGCAGCAGGTGTCCTTTCGGTCTGATTTGTGTGTAATGGCTCCATTTTCACCCAAAATGCATTTTCACAGATTAATTTGTGCTTTCAATCCTGCTGAGTCAAAATGTTGACCAACTCGCATCATTCCCTAGCATTTAATTTGTATGTTTACAATCTGTGAGAAAACCACAGGTATCTGGTATCTGAAAACAGAAAAAAGTGTTAAGCGTGAGATCAGAATGAAAACCCCTGTTTAGGCAGCTCTTCACAACAGTTGTGCCAAAAACAAGGTACCATGAGAGAAACACATTGCCTCCAGCAGCCTCACAAGGCAGAGCTAATTAAGCGATCAAGACATTATACCCCTTGCTTAATCGCAGTCTCAATTTAATGATCAGTGTGCTACTTCATTTCCCTGAGCCATGCAGTATGGTTTTAATCTACAGTTAATTAGATTAACTAATTCAGACATTTAAGAGACTCTGGCTGAAGTACCACTACTAGCGATTACCTTGAATTTGTCATAGGAATGTATAGACAGTAAATAATCACTCGGACATCGAGTTACATTGTTGCCCATGTGATAGTTGTTCTCGGATGCCATATAAGAGTAAACTCAGAAACTAATGCCATACATTGACAGAATTTATATCATCCAAATGCCATGCCCAGAGAATTAGACACTGGGTGTCTGAAACTTGAGAGTCATAACCTTGACACGTCAGGTACTGTTAATAACTCCTCACTATATTTCATTCATTGGACAGAGAGCCATTGTATTATTATAAGAATGCTCATCTACATTTTTAGGTTGACACCTTATACAAAGTAAATACCTACTATTTAGAGTACTGTTTAACATATAAACCCATTATAATAAAATAATTGTGATTAATCCCATGATTTCTGACAAAGATCATGAACTGGTAAAAATGTCAAATTTGGTCTTTACCTTATATATTAAAATGACCTTATATATATATATATATATATATATATATATATATATAGGCTCTATGTGCATTTTATAGTTTATATTCTGAGACAAAAAAGTTGAGTTGAAAAAATTGTAAAATTGCAAGATATAATTTAAGAATTACAAGAAAAAAAAGTCTTAATTACCTTTTTTTTAATTTAATGGTGGAAACAAGCTTCCATAAAAATGTTACCTCTGTGGTACACCGACTACATTGGTCAAAGGTTAGGTTATCTAGATTCAGACCAGAACTGGATCCTATTTGTGATAGGTGTAGACAGGCTCCTGCGTGCCTTATACATATGTTTTGGACATGTCCAGCTTTGTATAACTTTTGAAAATCGATCTTTGATGCTTTCTCAGAAATGATAGAATTGCCAATAGATCCATCTCCTTTTATTGCTATATTTGGCATCACAGCACAGAACATGCGTCTAAGTGGTTATAATTGTAAAATGTTGGCCTTTTCCACTTTACTTGCCAGAAGATTAATATTGCTTAAATGGAAGGACCCTCTTCCCCCCACTTTTTCTCATTGGATTAAGGACGTCATGCAACATCTTAAACTGGAAAAAATAA